GACACCAGCGGAGCGACTACGAAGACGGCCGCTCCAGGGAGACTGCTCACCAGACGCCTCAGCGCCCCCAGGTGCAACACCCCTAGACTCAGTACTCCCAGACTCCTCACGCCCAGGCTCAGCACCTCCAGTCTCCGCACCCCCAGGCTCCGCACCTCCAGGCTCCGCACCCCCAGGCTCAGCACCCCCAGAAGCAGCACCCCGAGCAGGACCACCCTCAGCAGAACCTGAGTCACCAGTGACCTCAACCGGCGCAGTTAAGGGAGGAGGGTCTACCTGAGACACACCTGAAGGAGCAGGACCGGTAGCGGGGAGGGGGTCTACCTGGGGAGCACCTGGAGCGAGGAAGAGCGGCGGCGGGGGGAGAGGGGCAGTGCGGTAGGGGAAGAGACGGTAAAAGGGAACCGACTCGTCGAACGTGACGTCCTGAGAGGGGAAGACACGGCGCGAGGTGGGGTGGTAAAACTGCCAACCAGGCGCGTCAGGGACAAAGCCAAGGAAGACACAGGGAACAGCGCGGGCGGAGAGCTTGTCCGCGGTGGTATCGCGGACAAAGGCACGAGCACCCCAGACCCGGAAACGCGACGCATCGCCAACCTTCCCCGTCCACAGCAGTGTGGGCGAGGTCTCCGGCAAGGAGACACGGGGCCAGAGGTTGAGCTGATGCGCGGCGTACCGGACCGCAAACGGCCACAGAAAATGGGGGGCAGCCGCATGAATCAAGGAGGTACGAGCGACCTCCATGACTAAGCCAATGCGGCGCTCAGCAACCCCATTCTGCTGCGGAGAGGCCGGAAGCGTGAACGTCTGGCGGATGCCGTGCTTCGCACAAAAGGCTGCCAAGAGGTCTGAGAAGAACTCACCACCTCTGTCAGAGTGCACACGCAGGACAGGAAAGTCCGAGTGGAACCGCTCGCGGAGCTGGAGACGAACAGCGCGGATCCAGGGGATCAAAACATCAGGGACCTCCCCCTTGCGCTGCAAGGGGAACACCGTGGTGTAACGCGTGTAGTCGTCGACGACCAGCAGGAAGTACCGCTCGTGGACCTGTCCACGAATGCGGGCTAGGCCCCACACGTCCAGGTGGAGAGTCTGCAGGGGAGCCTCTGTGGGAGGGAACGAGGAGTGAGGAGCGGCGCGCTGCCGCCCCTCGACACAGGGAAGACAGGGAGGAGCAAGCGAGGGTGGGAGGGGAGGGAGAACCCTGGGAAGACCAGAGACAAGGACACGGCGGTGCATGCTACGAAGGCGCTGCACCGAGGGGTGACCAAGGCGGTGGTACCAAAGGAGGGTCTGGTGCGACAAAGCGCGACACGAGCAGGGGGCCACTAGCTGACCTGACGCAGACGCAGACGCAGCGACCTGAGGGGACACAGTAGTTAGTGTGTACAGACTCGAGCCAGGCGCACGGGTAAACGTGGCCAGGTGCCGGCCCGTCCGGGAGCACGTACAGTAGGTCACGCGCTGACCTCCAGGAGTGAATTGGTCAACCCACTGGTCCTGGAGGTCAGCACCACTCACCAAGTTCGTAGAGAACGAGGGGAGGTGAAGACCTGACAGGGAGCCAGACGGGACCGTCGGACACGGCAGGACCGTGGAGGAGTGCGCAAGGACTGGACCCCCAGAGGGGTCTGCCAGGGAGACTGGAACCGGCCGGCTGAGCGGCGTGAGGGTGGTGCTGTCGCGAAAGAAGGAGCGGGAAGCACCTGAGTCAAGTGTGAAGGTGTACAAGGCCTCAGCAGGCGCAGTACCAGAGAGTGCAGACTCACTAGCACCTGGAGCAGCAGTCTCACCAGCACCCAGAGCAGGAGACGCACTAGCACCTAGAGCAGCAGCCTCACCAGCACCGAGAGCAGCAGGCTCTATACCTGGGTCAGGCGGTACGCACAGGTAACAGGCACGGTCAGCACTAGTAGGCAATGCATACATGGCAGTGAGAATAGCATCAAAGTCAAGAGAAAATATATCTACCCTCTGCCCAAGCAGCTCCACCCAGTCGGGGAGCTCAGCCGCGTCGCCAAACTCGGTACGCCAGGCGTCGCTCAGACGGGCGAAGCAGCGGGACTGTGTGTGACCAAGCGTCCCGCAAGCCTGACCAGCCCTATCACCTGTGCAAATGACGTACGGGCAGCGAACGGTACTCCGAAACCCTCTACTCTGAGCGTACCACTCGTGAAGCTGCTGGGACATAAGTGTCTCGCGTGGACGCCGCTGCAGCTGCAGCTGGCCACTGCCAGACGCTCCCAACTGACCAGCTCCAGGACGACAGCTACGACGACTACAGCGACAACCCCAACTAGCGTACCACTCACGAAGCTGCTGGGGCGTGAGAGACTCGCGTGAACGTCGCTGGAGCTGCATCTGGCCACCGCCAATAGCAGCAGTAGCAGTAGTAGCAGCAGCAGCAGTAGCAGCAGCCTAGCAGTAGTAACAGAAGGAGCAGCAGTAGCAGCAGTAGCAGCGCGGGAAGGGCAGGCGCGGCAGGCAGGCAGGCATGCAGGCAGACAGGCAGGCAGGCAGGCAGATGGCGCTACAGTGCGCGAACAAGGCAGGTGCTCACCAGTGGCGGTCAGGGCCGGCGCTCGGCGGGCAGCGGCCGGGTAGGCGCACCACGGCGGCGACGGCGGGGCCGCGACAGCTGCGGCAGAGCAGGGCCGCGTCGGCGGTAGGGCAGGTCCGCGACAGCTGCTGCAGGGCGGGGCCGTGACAGCTGTAGGAGGCTCCGCGGCAGCTGCTGCAGGGCAGGGCCGCGACGGCAGTAGAAGGCTGCGCGGCAGCTGCTGCAGGGCGGGCCGTGACGGCGGCAGAAGGCTCCGCGGCAGCTACTGCAGGGCGGGGCCGCGACTGTGGCAAGGCGCTCTGCGGCAGCTGCTGCAGGAGCGACAGCGGCAGTCAGACAGGGGCGGCGTCCAGAGGAGGGGCGTCGCGACAGGCCGGGGCGTCGTCCAGGGGCAGCCGCGGCGCGCGGGCTTGCAGCACGCAACGCGAGCTGCGGGCACGGCGCGCGAAGCCGCCGCGGGCTGCGCGAGGACGGCAGCCGCGGCGCGTAGGGCTGCAGCGCGACGTGCGGGCAGCTGACGCGACGCGCGGGGCTGCAGTGCGACGCGCGAGGCTGCAGTGCGACACGCGGGGCTGCAGTGCGACGCGCGGGGCTGCAGCACGCAGCGCGGGCTGCGGACGCGACGCACGGAGCAGCAGCGAGCCGCGCGCGGGCTGCTGCAGGGCAGGGCCAGGTGGGGCCGCGTCAGTAGCAGGTCGTGGCCGCGAGGAGGGGCGGCGTTCTGGCCTGACGGGCCTGCAGGGGCGGCTCGCGGGCCTGACGGGTCTGCAGGGGCGGCTCGCGGGCCTGACGGGTCTGCAGGGGCGGCTCGCGGGCCTGACGGGCCTGCAGGGGCGACGTGCGGGCCGTACGAGTCTGCAGGGGCGGCGCGCGGGCCTTACGGGCCTGCAGGGGCAGCGCGCTGGCCTAGGGCAGCAGTAGGCAGCGCGAGGGCTGCAGGACGGCGCGCGCAACGCAGCACGTCACAAGGCAAGGTAGGCAGGCAGGCAACACGTGGGGTAGCGTGGTAACCGCAACGGTAGGTGGGCCCGGAAAAAAAAGACGGTCCTACGGACCTATTGCTCTGAAACCATGTCAGAATCTAGCAGCAGTGATGATGAACTATGGAAGAGTTGGGTACAAGTATGAAACCCTAAAAGGGGATGTACCCCATATTGGCTACCCCACTACAGCCTACACATATATAATATGCATGTACTTTGACACGACCTCGCCTGGTCGACCACCTATACTCGGCGCCCTCCGAAGTCGGCGCCCCTGCAGTGACCCCCGTGCAAGTCAACCAGTCCCGTCGACCGGCTCGCCCACTGCTGCAGATTGGCTGCAACCCCCGTACACCTGACCACGAGGTCGACTCCGCCCAAGCGAGGACGGGGCCAAACACAACCCCCGTTGACAGGACACACTGATTCATCGTAGACAGATGACAATGAGACTCTTAGGTGCTACTGCTTCAGTCTTGGCGCATGAGTGGTATCGTGGAGATCCACTTGCACGATCGGTGGCACAGTCCAGCTATAAGGTGTATATTTACAGTGACGCTATGGCTGCTCAGAAGCTCCGCTGGCTGACGTTCTTAATTATTAACTTAAGAGAGATGCCTAGCTCTTCCCCGGCCGTGTTCACTAATAACAGGGCCATGATCCTCATGTGTCAGGCGCCTAGACTAGAGGGCAGAGCGAAGCACATACAGCTATGGTACTTTTTGCTACGTGAGCTGTAGCAGCGCGGCCAGGCATGCGTAGTACACTTGGCCTCAGGGGCCAACATAGTTGACATCTTCACTAAGGCACACCCACCTCATGATCATCGGTGACTTTGCACACGGTTTGGCCTCGTCCTAGTAGGAACTCACTTGTTAGGATCTTGATCACTCTATATTGTACTTGATCTGATTATGTTTGGTTATACTTATTGATTGGCCTTATGTCCAGGTACATTTTGCCTAGGCCATCGAATTCATCCCAAGTGTAGTTGATGGTGTTTTTGCCCTGTCTAATATAATTTATAGAATTCAGACTGGACAGGTCGATACTGGTAAGAAATCCAAAATCGGGGCTGGCAATAACGAGGTTAACCACCAAACCGCCATCCTCACAGCCAGCCGCGAGTATCAATCTTCTTCCACGTTTCCTCGCCAGAATTGCCAGCGCTTTATCCGCCAACTCGCACACTCTCCAGCGCAATGCGCCGACCTTTCAGCGGGTCTGCCGCTTCGTGCCCCTCCCTCCCCCACACCTTCCTTCTCCGCCCGTCCAGCTGAATCGTTATCTGGGTCGCATCGTCTCTCGCATCAACCTTCTCGTGCTCTCCATCATTGCGGCACCCGCCTCTGCCCGCGCCCGTCGTCGTACCGCGCGAAACTTTGTGAATGCGGCGGCAAACAACGTAGTCCGCTTCCGCTCCGCCTGTCCACTCCGCGTGGCGTGCGCCCCGCGCCATGCAGCGGCCGATCGCGGGCCGTCTGAAGCACGCGGGGTCGACGCCGCTCGTGGTCGTAGCGGACGACGTGCCGCCCATCAGGATCGCGGAGCGCCGTGCGATCGACCACCTGAGCGATCTCGACCATCCACGTGGCTCCCCGCTCGCCAGTGGCAAGCACGCGAGCCCACAAGCCGCCGCCTTCCGCGCGTCCTCCGCCGGCGGCGGTGTCGCCTCCCCGGTCGCCGCCTTCTCCCCCGCGGCGCTCTCCCGCGAGTTCGCTCTCGCCGCCGGCAGCCACTTCCACGGCAGCCCCGCGCACGCGCACGCGGGGTACGGCGCACACGCGGGCCACGGGGTGGGGGGAAGCGGAGCGGCGGGCGCGGAGCGGGCGGGCGGGGGCGCGGTGGTGTCGAACGTGGCGGTGGTGGCGGTGCTGCTGCTGCTGCTGAACCTGTCGACCATCTACCTCTTCTTCCAGTCAGGCCTCTCCGCCGCCTCCGCCGACATCCGCCTGCGCAGCGCCCCGCAGGAGCGCGCCATGGCGCACCACGCCGCGCTCTCCAGCGACCCCCCCGCCCGCCCACGGTACGGCGCTGCCATGCGCTGGCAGGCCGTACGCACTGCTTGGGGTGCCACCTCTGCTGCCTGACACCGCATTGCATTGCGTTGCATGCTACCACGCGATGACCAGTCCCATGATGCCTCTCCCATGATGCCTCTCCCACCCATTTCCCTCCCCACCACCTCCCCTCCCCTCCCCATTCTCAAACCCACCCTTCCTCCTCTCCCCCCTCCCAGCACGCATGCAGGTGGGGGGGCAAGCAGCAATCAGGTGCAGGCGGAGGGGGGGGCGGGCATGGGGAGGGGCGTGGGTGCGCATCTGAGCGCGGCAGTGAGGGCGAGGGAGACGGTGAACGGGCGGCTGTTCCACATCGCACCGGGGCTGGCGGCCAGCAAGGTGCCCTGGAACGCCACCGACAACTCGTTTCTGCTCTCCCTCGTACGCCCCCCGCCTCCCCTCCCTCCCGCTCTACTCCCTCCGTCCACATGCCATGCTCCCATCCACATGCCATGCTCCCATCCACATGCCATGCTCCCACATGTCTAGTTCCCATCTCCACATGCCTTGCCCTCACATTCTTGGCCTCGCGCTTCCCTGCACCCCTGTGCCTCTGCCCGCGCCTCTTCGCCCCTGCCTGTGCCCTTTCGCGTCTTGCCTCCCTCCCTCCCTTCGCATGTGCCCCTGGCGTGTGTGGAAGGGCAGAGGGGCAAGTGGGACGTGAGGTCGTTCTCGCTCATGCCGGGGGTGTTCCTGCTGCAGCAGCCCGACGACTTCGCCTGTGTGCTGCTCATCCAGGACGCCTGCTACGTGCACATGACAGGTGGGTGGGTGCCACGTGGCACATGACAGATGGGTGGTGCCACGTGGCACATGACAGGTGGGTGGGTGCCACGTGGCACATGGCAGGTGAGTGATACGTGCACATGACAGGTGCGTCGTTATTCGTGCACATCACAGGTCCACTGCTGCAGCATGCACGGTGGTTCTCGGCCAAGAAAGCACCTTTACTTGCACTTATGAGTTATCGCCTCATACCCACCTCCTGTCTCCCCAACCCCTCCTCCCCACCCCCTCCTCCCCACCGCTCCCGCAGGTTCGTTACGCCTGCGCGTGGCAGCAGCAGGCAAGGCATGTGGTGGGCGAACGAGGGCGGGCGTGCTTTGAGCTGCACTCCATCAGCAACACCCGCACTGCACTCCCCCTCCCCCCCGATCCCCCACCCCACCTCCTCCTCCCAGGCCCTTCGTGCGGCACACAGCATCAGCGGGCATGTGGTATGCAGACGAGGGTGTGCAGACGAGGGTGTGCAGACGAGGGTGTGCAGACGAGGGTGTGCAGACGAGGGTGTGCAGACGAGGGTGTGCAGACGAGGGTGTGCGCCACTTCACTCCATCACCACCTCCAACCACCTCTGCTCTCCCATGATCCCATCCGTCCGCTCCCCCCCCCCCCCCCCGCCCCCCCCGCCGCTCCCCCCTTCCCTTGCCCTCTCCCCTCCCCCAGGTCCATCGCGGGTGCACGCGGCGATGGCGGGCATGTGGTATTCGGACGAGGGCGTGCGCGACTTCAAGCGCATCAGCACGTCCAACGACCTCTGCTCGCTCTTCCCCGACGCCCTCGCCGACCAACAAGACCACGCCTGGCGCTCCCTCTCGCCCCGCGAGGCCCGTGCTGCCCTGGAACGAGAGGGCACTGTTGGAAGGGATGTGGTGCGGTTGAGAGGGGTGGAGGAGGGAGAAGGGGGCGTGGGTGGAGTGGATGGGCGGAAGGGGGGTGCAGGAGGGGGGAGGAAGGGGAGTGGGGTGGGGAAGGAGAGGTATGGTGGGAGGGTGGAGAGGAGGGAGGAGGAGGAGGAGGAGGGGGATTGGAGGGACAGCGGTCGGGTTGGGTACTCAGCTGAGGAGGGGGAGGAGGGGGAGGAGAGAGGGGCTCACATGGACAACAAGAGGCGACGCCTCCTGTCCACATCCCAGCAAAAACCCGCCAAACCCCACAACCCTGTTCCCTCCCACCCTAAAAAAACCACCCCTTCAGCCTCCCAATCACCACCAGCCACACCCCAGCAGCAGCAGCAGCAGCAACAACAGCAGTAAGCAGCAGCCGTGGTCCTGTCGGGTTTGAGAACCAGGCACCGGGGTTCACGGACGAGTTTGACGAGGAGGTGCACGACATGACGGACATCAAGCGCCGCGAGAACCGCGTGTACGGCCGCTTCGAGAGCGCGCACGCGGTGGCGCGCTACCTCAACCTCAGTGACGCGGCTAGTAGAGCACGGCTGGCCAAGTGGCCGCAGGGGGGCCGCGTGGAGAAGGTGGGGTATGTGCCGCGGCATGGTACCTACATGGGGGATTTTGGCGAGGCTGTGGTGCCGCTCATGCAGGTTGCTGGTGAGTGCTGGGCAACCGAAACTGTTTCAGAGTATATGTAAGGTTGTACAATATCTGAAAGGAAAAACCTTAAGAAAAATTCAGCAGGAGTTTCCTGAATTGAGAAAGCGATACTGGAGTAAGCAGTGGTGAGTGCGCTGGCCCCGCTGGGGGAGCACTTGCATGGATTGTCTGCTGCAGCAGCGTGTACCTCCCACGCCCCTGCAATCCTAATGGCCTCCCCTGCAACCCTTCTTGCCCTCGGCCCTCCCTGCTTTCACCCTCCTCACCCTTAGCCTCCTCGCCCCTCGCCTCCTCGCCCCTCACCCTTCCCACCCTAATCATTCCTTCCTTGTCACACCCTCCTGGCCCCTCCCCTTCCCACCCTCATCATCCCCCCAGTGCACCTGGTGCGAGCACCACCGTCAGACCCATCAAAGGACACGAGGGGGGAGGGGCGCGTGGTGTTCTTCCCGGGGGAGCACGAGGTGCGCAGCGCGTGGACGGCTGACATGGCGCACATCCTCTTCGGCCCCAAGGCGCAGCTGCTGCTCGGCCACTCGCCCGGGCTCAAGGTGAGGGACGTTTTACGAGAGTTGGAGGTGAGTGAATGAAGGTAGGCAAAAGGTGGGGAGAGGTGCTGGCAAGCGCAGCGCGTGGGCAATGCCTCCGCATGCACACGTGCTTTCGCACCGCCCGCCTCCCCATGACCCGCTACCGCACACTCTCCGTCCACCACTCTTCACGGCAACCCTATTCCCGCTCCCCTCCTGGGCTTCCTCTCCTGCCTCGCCTTTCCCCCCTGTCCCCCACCCCCCACAATCGGCCACCATGAGAACAAAGCAAAGGTACAATGAGAATGTGGGTGGCTGAGTTGGTGGTGCTCTAGTGAGCTAACGTGCGAGCAATGCACATGCAAAGCTAAGGCAAGCAGTACCATTTCAAGGGCCTCCGTCTAGGGGAGTTGCAGCCGCGGCTCAAGTGAAGCACTTGCCAGGTGAAACCACGTCCTTCGGCGCTCCAATGGGCGGGTCCTCGGCCTAAGCTGCCCCGTTCACCATGATGAGGTAGCTGCGACGTGTTGAGATTCTGGTGCGGTTCAGTGTGATGAGGTACCACCGTGATGAGGCAGTCCAGACCGCACCACAATCTCTGTCCCGTACAGCCAGACTTTCCCCCTCCCTCTCCACCCCATCTCCCAACTGTGCTTCCGCATCCCCCTCCACCCCCTCCTCCCCCCCCCCCACCCTCTCCCCAACCCCCCCTGAACCGTTTGCACTGCCCTTCCCTTCTCTCTTGCTGCCACCCTTTCCTTACCCCTGCTGCGCACTCCTCTCGCCCTTCTCTCCCCTCCTGTCACACCGTGCCCCCTCCCCTGCGCGCCCCACCTCTTGGTCCGCCAGGTGTGTTTCCGCAACGCGCTCTTCCCGCTGAACCGCCTGCACACGCCGCAGGCAGCGGACACGCTGAGGCAGTGGGCGCTGCTGGGCGCGGGGGGGCGCGGCAAGGGCAAGGGCAAGGGCAAGAAAGCCAGCCAGTCGGGCGTGGTGCGCGTGAAAGTGCTGCGCACCAGCCGCAGCCTGCCGCCCGTGCAAGCTAGCCCTGAATCCAAGGTCGGTGGCAAGAGGGGTGGCGAGAGGGGTGGCGAGAGGGGTGGCGAGAGGGGTGGTGAGAGGGGTGGCGAGAGGGGTGGTGAGAGGGGTGGCGAGAGGGGTGGCGAGAGGGGTGGTGAGAGGGGTGGCGAGAGGGGTGGCGAGAGCTAGGCTTGAGCAAGGTGGCGAACATCGAACACGTACGAGGCGAACCGAACAGGTTTTGTTTTTCAGCTTAAATCGTTCGCCCGAACGTGTTCGATGTTCGCCCGAACACGTTCGTGTTCGTGGCGCTGTTACAAAACGCCCCGTGTCGAACACGAACGTGTTCGAGGTTCGCCCGAACACGCCTCCACAGGCGAACAGCGAACACCTGTTTTTGGCTAAACTGTTCGCCGAACCGAACAGTGTTCGGTTCGGCAAAGGACGTGTTCGAGAAGGGGCGAACACAAACATGTCCGTGTTCGCCCTTTGCTCATCCCTAGCGAGAGCGGTGGCGAGAGGGGTGGCGAGAGGGGTGGTGAAACGGGTGTTGAGACGGGTGGTGAGAGAGGAAGGGTGGTGGTTCATGTGCGATGCAGGTGAGGGGGAAGACAGGACGTGATGGAGAAATAGAAAGTGTTGGGAAGGCAGCAAGATTACGTGGTACAGCGAGAAATCATTTTCCGCGTCCCCTCACCCAGTAGCCCCACGCTCAGCCGCTTCCTGCGTTTGACTTGCTTGCACCCCCGGCTTTTTCCCGCCCTGTTCTTCCCTCCTCCTCCTCCTCCTCCTCCTCCTCCTCCTCCTCCTCCTCCTCCTCCTCCTCCTCCTCCTCCTCCTCCTCCTCCTCCTCCTCCTCCTCCTCCTCCTCCTCCTCCTCCTCCTCTCCTCTGCCCGCAGGTTATGAGGTGGCAGGTGTTGGTGCTGGACCAAAGGAGAGGGTAGTGTGCACTACCGTCTCCCTCGCTCCGCCACCTCCCATCAACCCACAGTCCAGCTATCTTCTCCTCTGTTTTCGATTGCTCTCACATCCCCTGTGCACGCCCAGGTCCCCCCCACCCCGAGGAGCATGGGGTGGCAGGAGACGGTGTTGGGGCATGGGGTGGCAGGAGACGGTGTTGGGGCATGGGGTGGCAGGAGACGGTGTTGGGGCATGGGGTGGCAGGAGACGGTGTTGGAGCGCGAACAGGGTTGGTCTGCACGTCCCCTCACCTCGTGCCCCGCCTCTGTTCTCCTCCCATCCCTGTTTCTCTGCAACTCAATCCCAGGTGGTCCCCGCCCAGCGGCACATGAGGTGGCTGGCATGTGATGGTGCTGGAGTGAGGGAGAGGGCAGTGTGCCTCCTGCTATGTTCTCCCCCCATCCCTGCCCCTTTTTGCTCTTCCCAGGTGCCCCCTGCCCCCCGGCGCATGAGGTGGCAGGTCACAGTGCTGGAGCGAGAGAGAGGGCAGTGAGCACATCCCATCAACCCGCTCTCCCACTATCTCTTTCTTTCTTTTCCACTGCCCTCCCATCACTGTTGCCCCTTCCCAGGTGCCCCCTGCGCCGCGGCGCATGAGGTGGCAGGTGACGGTGCTGGAGCGCGAGAGGGGGCGGTCGGTGATGAACGGGCAGGAGGTGGCGCGCGTGGCACATGCTCTCTTCCCCGAGATGCCTCTGCTCATCGCCCGGGTCGGCAAGGTCTCTGCCTCTGACCACGCTCTGCTGCTCAAGGTGGGGGGGTGGGGAAGAGGAAGTGTGGTGTGAGGGGCTTTGCAAAGCGAGTGCCGTGGGCCACGCTGCTGCTCAAGGTGGTGGTGGTCGGTGGCAGAGGATGGAAGGGAGAAGGAGAGGTTGAGGAACGCGCAGGAAAAGGGAGTAGGGGCGTGGGGTAATAATGGAAGTTCCCATGTGTTTCGCTTGAGGCTCGTGCCTGACCTGAAGCGGCACACTGCCACACTGCATTTGACCTGCTTCCTATCTCTTCGCTTCGCCGCTCCTCCACCTGCAACCACACGATTCAAGCAGCCTGTTCGTACACCACCTCCACGCCTCTCCCTTTCTCCCATTCCCCCCCCTCTCTCCCCCTCCCCTTTCTCCCCCTCGCCCTTCTCCTCCCTCTTCTCCCTCCATTCGCAGAACACGCTGGTGCTGATATCCCTGCACGGCACGCCGCTCACCACGGCGCTCTTCATGCCGCGCGGCTCCGTGGTGGTGGAGCTCTTCCCCTACAAGTTCCTCAGCACGCTCTACAAGAAGCTCGCCATGCGCTCCGGCGTGCACTACCTCGCCTGGCGCAACATCCATGACATCAGCGCCTTTTTCCGCAACTCGTGCATGAAGGACGGGGGGTTCACGCACCTGCCCGAGGAGCAGTGCTGGAATATTCACGAGTGTGTGGCGTGCGCGCGTGATCAGAGCATTACGAGGGTAGATCGGAGGGAGTTCAAGGAGGTTATGGCCAATGCGAGAATGCTCGTCAGAACTCTCGTTTACAATAATACAGTGTAGGCTATTTTGTTTTAAATCAATGCTAAATATTGCTATTTCAGGGTGGATGTTCTTATTGCTAGTTCACTAAGCTGGTTCCTGCTTTTAGGGATGAAGCAATCCAACCTTTCCAAATCTCACATCAAACCACTCAACCGTGTCTACCGAACATCATGAGAGCTTATGTGGAATTTCGTGGAATCAGCGAATTCCCAAACTCAAGGCGCTATACTGTTAGCACTCTGTCGGTGCAATTTTTGAATAACACATCTTCGTCAGTAAACGAACCCGCACGGCCGTTGTAACGCTCGACTAAGATATTCGCATGGCGAAGGATCAGGTTCAATCGTTCCAAGGGAACGGAGAGTGAATTCTCGACCCTCAATCCAGCCACTGGCCCTCAGCAAAGCAAGTTGGAATGGGGTCGGTTCAATCTGTACACCTATGCAACCCTTGCAATGGACCGGTACTAATTGTTTTGCACTACCGAACGCGTCCTGATCTGCATAGGAATTTTACTTACTCGCCTCTCGTGCCGCATGACACTTACGACTGGCCCTGTAGTAATAATAGCGACGCGGAGACCAACGTCACATGCTGCCCACCGCGCGTTTTCAATCACCGTCGCACGCAGTCGCTAAAGGTTTCGTCGGATTTGACATAGGTAGCTGCCGGCCTGAGATACACGAGCAGGTGAAGGGGAGCAGCGTATCGCCTCCGAGTGACGGTCATAGCAGCACCATCGCGCGCTCGGCGCTCTGCGAGCGACGCTCCGCTCGGCGGCAGCAGCGCAGCAATTTTCCGTGCTCGCTCCGCACACGCGGTGCTAGTACTATCAGTGAACCCCTGGAGCGAGGGCGGCGACGGCAGCGAGGGTGGCGATGGAGGCGGGAGCGAAGCGGCCTGAAGAGGTCTCGCTGCCGAAAGGTAACCCCGAGCACCGAAAGGTACCCCCGAGCACCGAAAGGTACCCCCGAGCACCGAAAGGTACCCCCGAGCACCGAAAGGTACCCCCTAGCACCGAAAGGTACCCCCGAGCACCGAAAGGTACCCCCGAGCACCGAAAGGTACCCCCGAGCACCGGCGAAAGGTATCCCGAGCGCCGCTAAGCCCAGCGCTGCCCCCGATGCCTCGAATCGCGCTGTTCTTTGCCACCCTGTGGCTGTTCTCTCTGCTCTCCTTGCAACGACACCAGTCTCTGGGATGCAGCCTCCAGTGCCTGCCATCCCTCCGCTCCCTTCCCACTCCCACCACCGCCATCCTTGTATTTCATCTCCCGCGTCACCCTCTCCTCTCCCTTTGACTGTATCTTCCATGTTTTGTTTTACCCTCGCGGGTGTTTGTCAGCGACAATGAGTCGGCTAATAAAGGAAATGCTGCCGCGGGATGTGCGCGTCTCCAAAGACACGCAAGACCTCCTCATGGACTGCTGCCTCGGTGGGTGCATGTCTCTGCCTCGGTGAGTCCATGTCTCTGCCTCGGTGGGTGCATGTCTCTGCCTCGGTGGGTGCATGTCTCTGCCTCGGTGAGTCCATGTCTCTGCCTCGGTGGGTGCATGTCTCTGCCTCGGTGGGTGCATGTCTCTGCCTCGGTGGGTGCATGTCTCTGCCTCGGTGGGTGCATGTCTCTGCCTCGGTGGGTGCATGTCTCTGCCTCGGTGGGTGCATGTCTCTGCCTCACTCGGTGGGTTGATACGGTGGGTTGTTTCGGTGGGTTGTTTCGGTGGGTTGATTCGGTGGGATGCTTCGGTGGATTGCTTCGGTGGATTGCTTCGGTGGGTTGCTTCGGTGGGTTGCTTCGGTGGATTGCTTCGGTGGATTGCTTCGGTGGATTGCTTCGGTGGGTTGCTTCGGTGGATTGCTTCGGTGGATTGCTTCGGTGGGTTGCTTCAGTGGGTTGCTTCGGTGGATTGCTTCGGTGGATTGCTTCGGTGGATTGCCTGGGTGGGGTGAGCTGCCTGGGTGGGGTGAGCTGCCTGGGTGGGGTGAGCTGCCTGGGTGGGGTGAGCTGCCTGGGTGGGGTGAGCTGCCTGGGTGGGGTGAGCTGCCTGGGTGGGGTGAGCTGCCTGGGTGGGGTGAGCTGCCTGGGTGGGGTGAGCTGCCTGGGTGGGGTGAGCTGCCTGGGAGGGGTGAGCTGCCTGGGTGGGGTGAGCTGCCTGGGTGGGGTGAGCTGCCTGGGTGGGGTGAGCTGCCTGGGTGGGGTGAGCTGCCTGGGTGGGGTGAGCTGCCTGGGTGGGGTGAGCTGCCTGGGTGGGGTGAGCTGCCTGGGTGGGGTGAGCTGCCTGGGTGGGGTGAGCTGCCTGGGTGGGGTGAGCTGCCTGGGTGGGGTGAGCTGCCTGGGTGGGGTGAGCTGCCTGGGTGGGGTGAGCTGCCTGGGTGGGGTGAGCTGCCTGGGTGGGGTGAGCTGCCTGGGTGGGGTGAGCTGCCTGGGTGGGGTGAGCTGCCTGGGTGGGGTGAGCTGCCTGGGTGGGGTGAGCTGCCTGGGTGGGGTGAGCTGCCTGGGTGGGGTGAGCTGCCTGGGTGGGGTGAGCTGCCTGGGTGGGGTGAGCTGCCTGGGTGGGGTGAGCTGCCTGGGTGGGGTGAGCTGCCTGGGTGGGGTGAGCTGCCTGGGTGGGGTGAGCTGCCTGGGTGGGGTGAGCTGCCTGGGTGGGGTGAGCTGCCTGGGTGGGGTGAGCTGCCTGGGTGGGGTGAGCTGCCTGGGTGGGGTGAGCTGCCTGGGTGGGGTGAGCTGCCTGGGTGGGGTGAGCTGCCTGGGTGGGGTGAGCTGCCTGGGTGGGGTGAGCTGCCTGGGTGGGGTGAGCTGCCTGGGTGGGGTGAGCTGCCTGGGTGGGGTGAGCTGCCTGGGTGGGGTGAGCTGCCTGGGTGGGGTGAGCTGCCTGGGTGGGGTGAGCTGCCTGGGTGGGGTGAGCTGCCTGGGTGGGGTGAGCTGCCTGCCTGGGTGGGGTGAGCTGCCTGGGTGGGGTGAGCTGCCTGGGTGGGGTGAGCTGCCTGGGTGGGGTGAGCTGCCTGGGTGGGGTGAGCTGCCTGGGTGGGGTGAGCTGCCTGGGTGGGGTGAGCTGCCTGGGTGGGGTGAGCTGCCTGGGTGGGGTGAGCTGCCTGGGTGGGGTGAGCTGCCTGGGTGGGGTGAGCTGCCTGGGTGGGGTGAGCTGCCTGGGTGGGGTGAGCTGCCTGGGTGGGGTGAGCTGCCTGGGTGGGGTGAGCTGCCTGGGTGGGGTGAGCTGCCTGGGTGGGGTGAGCTGCCTGGGTGGGGTGAGCTGCCTGGGTGGGGTGAGCTGCCTGGGTGGGGTGAGCTGCCTGGGTGGGGTGAGCTGCCTGGGTGGGGTGAGCTGCCTGGGTGGGGTGAGCTGCCTGGGTGGGGTGAGCTGCCTGGGTGGGGTGAGCTGCCTGGGTGGGGTGAGCTGCCTGGGTGGGTTGCCTCGGTCATGCCTCAGGTAGTCATGCCTCATGTTGCCTCGCTGCTTGCCTGGGTGGGTTGATGTGCTTGCATGAACATAGTGTGGCAAGTGTTCTCTCTTCTCTTCCCACCCACTCCTTCACTCTGCAGCTTGATGCGCTGGTCCTTCCAAAGCCCTTCCTGCTTAAAGAGTCTCCCTGCGCCCAGAAAGATTCTTTGCCCTCTCATGCCCTCTCATGCCCTCTGATGCCCTCTCATGCCCTCTCATGTGCTCTATTGCCCGCTCACTTAGGCGTGCTGCCTGCTCCACCATGCATGCGTCGCCCCTCCCCCTGCAGAGTTCATCAATCTGATATCGTCGGAGGCGAATGAGATGTGCAGCAAGGAGGACAAGCGCACCATCGCCCCCGAGCACGTGCTGCAGGCGCTCCAGGTGAGAGGGGGGGGGGGGGAGTGGGGGTGGGGGGTGAGAGAGAGATAATGGGCGATGGAGGTGAGATGGTGAGACAGGAGGGGGTGGAGGTGAGGGAGAGGGCATTGAGGTGAGAGGGAGGGCGGTGGAGGCGAGAGGGAGGGCGGTGGAGGCAAGAGGGAGGGCGGAGGAGGCGAGAGGGAGGGCGGTGCAGGTTAGAGGGAGGGCGGTGCAGGTTAGAGGGAGGGCGGTGCAGGTTAGAGGGAGGGCGGTACAGGTTAGAGGGAGGGCGGTGCAGGTTAGAGGGAGGGCGGTGCAGGTTAGAGGGAGGGCGGTGCAGGTTAGAGGGAGGGCGGTGCAGGTTAGAGGGAGGGCGGTGCAGGTTAGAGGGAGGGCGGTGCAGGTTAGAGGGAGGGCGGTGCAGGTTAGAGGGAGGGCGGTGACGTGAGAGAGAGTGAGCGGTGGAGGTGAGATAGAGGGCAGGTGGTGGTTGGGGGGGGGGGGGGGGGGGGGGGGGGGGGGTGTAGTAGAAGCCAGTCCATGCCTCTCCTGCCTGTGTCCCCGCCTTGCCAATCGAATCTCTTGGACATTTTGCTGCCTCTATCCCCCTCCCCTGCCGCCTCTCCCCTCCCCTGCTGCCTCTCCCCCTCACTTGCTGCCTCTTCCCCTCTCCTGCTGCTGCCTCTCTCCCTCTCATCTGCTGTCCCTTTCCCGCTGTCTTGCTGCCTCTCTCCTTTCGTGCAGTCGCTGGGCTTCAGCAGCTATCTGGCGGAGGTGCAAGCAGCGTACGACCAGCACAAGTCTGAAACACTGGTGCCCACCGCACTCCCTCCTCACACACTCCTCCCTCCACACACTCCCTCACACACTCCTCTCCTCCCTCCACACACTCCCTCACACTCCACACATTTCCATTTGCCGTGTTTCATGTTTCAGCCCACTATTCAGCTCATCGCCTCCACTTCTTTTTTTTGCCCGCGTTGCCTCTTGTAATGAGAGCTGTGGGTGGGCCTTAAGGCTGCTGCAGCACACAGGGGGTGCACAGCTGTTGCTAAGCGCACACGGCTGCATCAATCCCTTGCACTGCCTTATGCTCAGGACTGAATCGTTTGACTGTGACTGTGTTACGCCCACCTGTTCAACCAACCACCTTGCCACCCGCTTGCCTGCCACCCGCTTGCCAGCCACCCGCTTGCCTGCCACCAATGATTTGTTCACATGCATCTCTCTCATGCTGCTACCATGTCGCTGCATGCCCTTGCTCGCTCTCTGCTCGTGTTACTCTCCATCACATTTCCACATACGCTACGCTTCATCTAACTTGTTCCTCTTCTCCAATGAGGGTTGGTGCAGCAGCAGGGAGCGGTTTAAATGACATGCATCTCTCTCATCTCTGACTCTCTGCCTTGCATGCTCCCCCCCACCAACCCGCCTCCCCCTTTTCCCCTTTCCCTCTCCTCCCCACCCTGCAGGAGTCACCACGGGTGCTGGGGCAGTCGAGCAGCAGCACGAATCCCACACTCTTTTCCTTGCATGCTCCCTTAACCAAACCTCCTTCCCCCCCCTTCTTCCTCCCCGCCCCCATGCAGGAGTCGCCGTGCCCCCTGAAGCGGTGGGCAGCAGCAAGGCAGGAACAGGACATGCATCTCTCTTCCTCTCTGCTCTGCATGCACCCCTCCCTTTCTCCTCCCCGCCCCCCGTGCAGGAGTCACCGCGGGCGCTGGGGCGGTCGAGCAGCAGCAAGGCATCGGGGGCGGTGGGGATGAGTGAGGAGGAGGCGATAGCGGAGCAGCAGAAGATGTTTGCCGAGGCGCGCGCTGCCATGCTCAACCTGCAACGGCCCTCCTCGTGATCCCCGCCTCTGCCATGCGCCTCCGTTACATTTGTTGCCTCCTCGGTGCTCTGATCTGCCTGTACTCTCACTGTGTCTGGCCTGTCACGTTCGAGCTGGTACTGGTGCCATTCTTATGTAGTGCCGTCCTCTTTAGTGCCGTTCTTCTATAGCGCTGTCTCTTTTGTTCTACATGTGCACTGGTTCGTCCCCATGAACGACCGTGCTGCAATGCCTCACTTCCCCTTTTGGCACGGCTGCCCTTTTTTTATCGCGGGGGCGGCCGTGGGGCGAGCTTGTGGGAGGATGTGCACGGCAGTTCTGGTGGGACGCATGGTGGGATGCCAGTGTAGTGCAGGGCTGTGTTGTGCTGTGTGATCATCCTGGTGAATGACATGCATAAAGAGGGCCAGCAGTGGTGAGGGGAGAGCACCAACACAAGAGTGTATGTACTGCTAGGGCTCTAAACAGGAGGGGCCCCAATCTGGAACCTTTGCTTCATGCTTCCTAGACTTGGACGAATCTGGGTTTGAATCTGCTGCTCGTACAGTATAAAGAAGGACAATGGTCGACCTATAACAATTCAAACACCACTTTTGAAACATGTCCATAGCCTTGAACACATTCCAACACACTAAAGTGATCACTGGAAATCTCTGTAATGCGGTACCGTACGCCACTCAGTAGGTGGTGACCGTGGATGAGACCGACCCCTTCATGGTGACGCCGCAAACTGAAAGCGAAAGCGTCAAGGCCGAAGGAGAATTGAAAAGCCCAGCGTCGACTAACGTCTTCAAGGTGCCGACAGGCTGGGAAGCATAAACGAGCGACACCTTCTCCACAACATTGCAGCTCCAAACGCCGGTACTAGGATGGACCGTGAATGTGCAGATGAATTCGGCCACAGTGGCGCCTTTACTGTCGATGTATTTGGGTTTGGTAAAATCTCTGGCCGAATTGGCGAGTGTCTTTGAAACGCGGATAGTGAAGTTGGTGGATTGAAACGTGATTGTGCTGCAAAGGGGAGGGAGGGGGGGGAGGGAGGGGTGGGGGTGGGGGGGGGGGGAGGGAGGGAGGGGAGGCAGGGAGGATGAGAGGTTGCAATCTTGCAGGTGCATTCGGAATGTATCTAAGTGAACGTTCAGCGTGGTGGTACGAGTGAATGAGTCATGAATACGTATAGTCAGAGAAAGTAGTAAATATATATTCAGTGTGGTAAGAGTGAATGAGTGAATGAGATTGAAAGCATACGTAGCCATTGTTGAAAAAATACCATTGCCTGGGGGAACGCTAAAACCAGGTGAACATTCAACGTGATATGACACTTACACGTTAGCATTCAGCGTGCTCGAAGCGGTCGACTTGAGATTCGCCATGGTCGACGCTGCTTGGTCTGCGCACCGGCGACACGGAAAGGGGAGAGCGACAACAGGAGTAGTCGATGGAATCAGGAACAGAGAACCAGCTACTTAGCATTGCGGCAGGTTAAGAGCATGAGGTTGCCCTTCTGGTGTCGAACGTGATGATAGCGCGTACGAGAAGATGCTGCGGACAAGAAAAACGTCAAGAAGAGCGCCGCATGCAGCAAGATAGATTGTCGTACAATAAGTGCTGCCAGTTTGGAGCAGATGACGGCTGGCGACGGCTCCGCAGGTGAGAGAGAGCAGCACTGCACGGGGACAAGTCACAAGACGTGCACGAGAGATTAGGGTTGTCACTTAACGAGGCGCTGCTAACAATGAGTTAAGCTCACTGAATTTTGAAAATTCTGGACTGATTGTTTCGAGCATCACGCAGCTTAGGCCGAATAACGCAGGCGGAAGCAACTTGGTGACCGAAGGGACCACCAACATTCGGTCAGGAAAGGGAAGGCCTATACTCGAGGACGAAGGGTCGGCGAATGTAAAACTCGCCAGCGAGGACGACCACGGGTCGCAACGACATCTGGGCCATGGCGGATCTAGGAGGTAGCGCTACTTGCGAAAGAATGGAGGCTCATGATTGCTGAAGAAAAACCCAGGTGCTTTTATAACCAGTCGAGCTGCCTATTCGTGGAGGGTTACTACCGTAGTAATTTCTGCCTATTCAGGTTTACACATCACAAAAAACCCGGTTCAGGTTGGAGGTGGGTTTGGTGGTTTCGAGGGTCGCATTTGACAAAAATTGCCAGGCGTGACTTTCCGCTCGATTACCGACTGGAAACCGTCGGCTTTCCAGCGGAAGTCACTGGGCAAAGTTGGGTCTTGCCGAAAAATGCAGTGGCGACCGAGTCGCGTCAAGTTCCACTCGGTGCCTCCTGATTTCCGGTGGATTTCGGGCGGGAATGAGATGGGGGGCGGCGAGACCATAATTTGGGCAAAACTGAATATTTGAGATGCGTACAGTTTTCGCATCACCCAAGACGAACAGTTTATCTCTGAGCTTATATAACATACTTGAAACTGCATTCTGTGATAAAATTAGAATTCGAGAAGATCATAGACATGAAAACAATTCATTGTTTATTCATTTCAATAGTTGTATGAATCAGGAGTTTTATTGTGCCGAAAAAATGTGAATTTAATTCAGTAATCAAAAGCAACAATATTTAACGCATGCTACACAAAAATGTGATGCTACACACTATTATATTTTGTCTCTCTATATTGTTTCGTGCCGTCCGAAAATAAACGTGTGCATAATGTTGCACCACATATATGGCGTGTCGTGTCAACGTGTTGTATCGACGCACGTTCGTCATTTTAAACAATATCTCTATTGATCATTCATACATTTACTATATTTGCAAGCATGCTGGTCAGATTTGGTGTCATTCGCAGCACATGGTAGGAATGAAGTTATGATGTTTCTAACTATTGATCAGGGAAAACTGTGCAACGATAGGCATATGCGCAACGTGGTGTCATACATGCGGAGAGTCACTACACAACGGGAGTGGACTACGGAGGAAGCCACGAGGTTGTGCGGGTGATCGTAGCGTTGCACTACAGCAGGTTAGCATGCATTTCGTCGCCGATGTCCTGCAGCTTTACGCCGTTTTCCAGCAGCCGATCGGCCGACAGCAGGTTAGCATGCACGATCGGAACGTAGAGCACGTCGGGAACAAGAATCGGCTTCCCAATCTCCCCTCGCAGAGCGACGGTGCCACGGCCTTCGACGATATGCAACGCCCCGTTGAAGCCACGCGCATGCTTGACGTCGCCTCCAGGCTTCATCTCGACGAACGCCTCCTTCGTTCCCATCATATGGTGGGAACAACCGCTGTTGAGTAGCACCACCGTCGGGTTTGCCTGTACAGCGGCTGCGACCGCCTTGAAGTCCTCCCCAGCTTCCGGCGCCAGAGAGACGGTCGACTCTACGACTTCGACCATCGAGCACGACACCTCCGCTCTCCCTGTCTCTCTCTCTCTCTCTCTCTCTCTCTCTCTCTCTCTCTCTCTCTCTCTCTCTCTCTCTCTCTCTCGCTCTCTCTCTCTCTTTTTTTTTCTCTCTCTCTCTCTCTCTCTCTCTCCCTCTCTCTCTCTCTTTCTCTCTGTCCCTCTCTCTCTCTCTCTCTCTCTCTCTCTCCCTCTCTCTCTCTCTCTCTCTCTCTCTTTCTTTCCGTCCCTCTCTCTCTCTCTCTCTCTCTCTCTCTCTCTCTCTTCTCTCTCTCTCTCCCTCTCTCTCTCTCTCTCTCTCTCTCCCTCTCTCTCTCTCTCTCTTTCTCTCTGTCCCTGTCTCTCTCTCTTGTCAGAATAGTAGCGAGAATTAGGAGCCATAGCTAGGGTTTACCTAGCTAGGCAATGTCAGAATATTATGCTCTAGCCTGTAGTGGGGTGCTCTATAGCGAGTACAACCCTTCTAGGGTTTGCTATTTGTATCCTCATTCTTGCTAGTGCAACCCTCCTTCTTCTTAATTCCTCTTAAACTTTTCACATGCTATCAGAGCAGGTCGATCCCCTTGGATCGATCCTCTGGGTGGGCTCACCACCTCGTTGCTTCCGCTGCAACTTCCACCACTACCTTCTGTGCCGCACGCCCCGTGGCGTGCGGCAGTTTTTCTTCCCGCCGTGCGCCCCGAGGCGCGCGGCGGTTTTCTGCCCGCCGTGCGCCCCGTGGCGCGCGGCGGTTCTCTGCCCGCTGTGCGCCCCGAGGCGCGCGGCGGGCTTCTACCCCGTCACTCGCCGCGTCGCCCTCGGGAGGCGCTGCGACGGGCGACGGGGACCCGCGCGTCGCCCCCCGTCGCCCGTCGTGGCCTGCGCGCGGCCCTTACAGCCGGCGCGCGGCCTGTACGGGCTGCGCCAGGCCCGCGCGCGGCCCGTACGGGCTGCGCCAGACCCGCGCGCGGCCCGTACGGGCTGCGCCAGACCCGCGCGCGGCCCGTACGGGCTGCGCCAGGCCCGCGCGCGGCCCGTACGGGCTGCGCCAGGCCCGCGCGCGGCTCGGGCCGCCTGCGCGCGGTTCGGGAGGCTGTGCCAGGCCCGTGGGCGGCCCTTTCCTCGCTGCCCCTGCCCTCCCCGCTGTCCCCCGTGCTTCTGCTGGCGCCCCACCCCTCCTACAGCCCGTTCTCCTGAATTAGGGTTTGGGGGTGAGGGGTATGGGGGTGAAACTACTGTGTGCCGTTCCCTGCTCCTCCTCCTCCTCCGTCTCCCTGTGCTGCAGCTGCCGCTGAGGGGGGGTGGACTTGTTGGAGCCGTTGGAGTGGTGCTAAGGGGGGGTGAAGGGGGAGTGGAGCTAGCGGTGTAGCAGCGGGTGTGTGTCAGGAGGGGTGGTACTGTTTGGGGGAGGTCGAGTGGAGGCAGCAGTCTTGTCGTCAGCAGCAGCAGCAGTCCGGAGGCTACAATCTCCGGTAGTCGCCAGTCGCCCGTGGGTCCGTTGCTCGTCTGCCGCTACTTTTAGCCGCGGGGCCAGTTACCCCAGTAGTCCGGAGCGTTGTTCCGGTAGCCACTGAGCCAGCAGCTCGTCTGTGTGTCTGCAGCGTCAGCAGTCGCCTCCCATCTTCTCTCCCCCACAGTCTCTCCTCCTCCTCACTTGCCCTCTGC